GCAAAAAACAATTATTAAAATCATAAATAATATTCAATGTTAAACTGGTACACAATTGTGTACCAGTTTAATGTTGAATATTATTTATGATTTTAATAATTGTTTTTTGCTCCAAAATGAAACACTGCAACTATAGTCATCATTATATACAATACAAATATGTGTTGTCCAAATGATTTTAATTATTTTACTTCTTTAGTTATATTACTTTGAACCAACATCTTTTGTGATTTTTCACTTTAAAAAATGTGTGAACCAAAACAGTATTTATGTGCACTATTTGGCTTGTTCATCTTTAGAAATTTGTACCAAAACATCATTTATGTCCACTATTTAGCCTGTTCATTTTAAACAAATATGTGAACCAAAACAATATTTTTGTCCACCTCTTAGATAGTTGTGTTTGTAAAATGTTCCAAGTTGCCTCAACTGCACCACAGTAGTATCTACCTAGCAATACTGATAACAACATCATATTTAAATTACTTGATGCAACAGGCTTCATATTTCCATTTACTTCCACTGTAATGAAACATCTCCTTGAATGTACATCAGTAGGGAAGAATCAATATTATATCCTTATGGATTATTTTAATATTAAGGTTGTGTATCTATACTGAATATGTTACAAGTATTATTATGCAGTTGCACTTTTTTGGTTCTGTAGCAGTTTCATATTTTTTTGTATTAACAAGAAATAATGCATGTTTAAAGATAAATGAGAAATATTTGTGTGTGAAAATGAGCCACAGCTAACCTAGCTGTGAATAAAGACTTAGAAAAATACATGCCATACTCCACCCAAGGTCCAGAACTCATCTGGCCTGGATTTATGAACAGTCATCTTCACTCCCCAACCAAGTGGGAAAGGTGAATTACACTTACCCATGGAATTCTGGAGAGAAGGGTGGTGTCCAGAAGCTAACAACAATAAAAAATATACCTTGAGGGTAATGGTGATACAATGAAAAGGAAGGCATATATTTGAAGGGATGATGTGATAACATATGTAAAACAACTCTAAAGTCCCAATTAGGCAATTGAAAAGGTCATTTGGGTCAAAGAATATGAAAGGATCATAAGATGAGATAGCACAGGAGAGTCAAAACTTTCCTATAATTAGGATATCGAAAGGTAGCAGCTAAGGATGCTTTATATAATACAATGGTAGAAGACAACAAACCTCTCTTAAAAATCCACATCAAGAAACGTGATACTATGGAGACCATTGGATGAAGTGGGTTGAAGGCTTGCTGAAGACACCGTTGACGATATGTAGTCCATTTCCGTTGATAGATTGCCATAGAAGGTTGACAAAGGGATTTAGTCAAATAAACGGAAATTTTAGAAGTTAGTCCCCTATGTTGGGCAAGGGACCACATAACTTCCATACATGAAGCTTGAGTTGTCAAATGTTGTAGAATATTGGACTGAGGTCGTCTGAACGAGGATGGGTGAAGAGGTAGTGGTGGAGATTCTTGAAGTAATTAAAGAAGAGGAAACCATGTGTGTGTGTGCAGGCCAAAAAGATGCTATCATGGGGTGAAACGAATCATAGACAAGACTCTGGGTAAAAGACGAATAGAAGGAAAGGCATACAAATGTAATCCTGTTTAGTCTTGACTGAAAGCATCTATCGCCAGAGCTCGTGGATATGGAAGTGGTGACCAGAACAACTGTAGGCAAGCATTCCAATGGGTTGCAAAGGCATCATCATCACTGGAGATCCGAACTGAGAACAAATACATTGAAAGACCTCCTGATGTAACATCCATTCTGTAGGAAGAATACAATGGGGTCGAGAAAGATGATCTGCTATCAAATTCATAATCGCTGGCACATGATAGGCCAAAAGATGGATGATGTGAGAATGAGCCCAATAAAGAAGATCCAAAGCCCAAAAACAAAGATCTCAAGAACGAGTACCTCCCTGACGAGAAAGATATGATACCACTGTGGAGTTGTCTGATTGGATCATGACAATTTTGCTGTGCAAGAGAGGAAGACCTTGAATCATTGCTCGATATACTGCAAGAAGTTCGAGAATGTAGATATGCAGGGTAGATTCATAGTCTGTCCAAATACCCTGGAATTCCTGCCCCTGAAAAAAAAGCACCCATCATCCATGAAAAGATGGATTTTCAGACAAGGAGGTGGTAGCTGGACCCCGATAATCATGTTGTTCCTGTCTAGCCACCACTTGAGATCTGCAAAATGGTTCTCGAGCAAAGAGACTGTCCAAAGGATCGATATAATGAGCCACTGATCACAAGGTGATCACTAAAAGAAACTCATATGGGCCTGACCGAATACCACGAGGAATTCTAGGTTAGCCCATGTCTCCAAAACAGACAGAACCATCTGTGCAGTGGGAGAAGGTGATGTAAGCAAACGCCTGACAATCCCTTCCATATTGTGAAGTCAGAAGGGAGATGGTTGAGCTTGACTCAAATGTGTGTTGAAAAACACCTCAAGATGGACCAGACATTGAGTTGGTGAGAGAATGGATTTTTCCAATCTGATTAGGATGCCTGCCCTTCTGACTTCAAAAAGGAGAATCTGGGTATGTAGTTTGGCAATGTAATGGGTTGCTGCCAAAAGAAG